GTAGTTGAGACTTTTAAAGGCGACACAGACGCGGAGCTCTTTAAGCTGAGCCGCCACAGACTCCTCGGTCAGCCGAAGTTAAAGATCATGTCCCACACAAACCGTAACCCCATTGAACGGTTCCACTGCAGCACTGACACCTGGTTCAACATACCTAGAAAGAGAAGACACATAATCGTCCGAGCACATCCCCGACTCAACTTCCGGTACCGTTGACAGATCCGACAGCTCACATCCCTTCTCCATCCCAACACCACTCCTCAACACCCCACAAGGAGTAGAAGAAGAAGAAAGAGCATAAGGAGGGATCCGAGATTGAGTGGCAGAGGACATACCTTGGTCGATAGAAGTGGTGAATCGAGTGATCCACTTTTGTTTTTCATAACGGGTCAATCGATTACCATGGCGGTACAATTTTCCCTGATTGGTTCAATGTGCACCGTTAGGGCTTCTATTTTCCGACGATACAAGGGCAGAGATGAAAGGCCCTGTTGTGAATGCATTACAACAACACATGTCGTGTTGAAAAGTCTTGTCTTTTCCGCCATGGACCAATTTCTTCGTACAGATGGATGAAATGCAAAAGAGTTGCGCTTTGTTAAAGGATGGGCACGAGCATGGGCTAAGCTTCCTCCACTGGGCCTTAATAAGACAATTGGGCTGGGCTTGGTAAATGATAAGGAGATGGATAGGCAATTATTGAGGCCCCTCTGGACCTTCCTCTTAATCCCTTAAGAAACACTAGGCCCAAACCAAGACCTAAGACCATTAACCATGGGCCTATGGGGCCCATGCTTCAAACCAGGCCCATCGTTGGTACTTTCTATAGCATCTGAATGATCACATGGCCTGCCACATGGGAAGGCAGGCAGGCGACGCGTTGAGCTTCACGCGTCTCTGTCCTTGGGGATGAGAGGAAAGACGACTCTCATGTCTAGATCTCAGTTCCTCTAGCTGTGGTGGGAATCTAACATGTGAGCCGATGGAGGCTTTCGGAAGGATGGATGGTGATAATTCCTCCCTCAGAGCAACTTTAAAGGCCACTCTCTGATCTTTAATGAACGAAGATGAAATCTGGGATCACACCTTCATCAGAAACATAGGGAGTAACTCTCTCTCCTACCACCATATCGTCTGCCTCCACGTCTCTAAAACCCCGCACATATCCCTTATGGCTTCGAACAACATCTGACAGCGAAGATGAAGGAGCAACCCGTACATCACCACTCATCTTCCCCTTTTCCTTGCTCTCACCGCCGAGCATCCGACTGCAAAATACCAAACATCAATTAAAAGAGTTGCAGCGCCCCATGTCTTCTTACCAGAAATAAGAACTCTTTGTGCCTCTTTCTTCGATGGCAATTTGAACAGGAGAAGACGGTCAGGCAAGGTTGAAACCGTCACCCTACACGCAATCTTCCAAGTCTGCGTCGCCCACGTCTCAATCCTCTCGATACTTCCCACATCTCTATCGAAGCGTCCAACAAGGCAGGATTTCAAGACTGATTCTCGGCATGCCGTACTATGATGATCAACCCTAAAGGTCCTGCCCTCTTCAGTTGGGAAGCTTTCAACCTTGTCGTTGAGAATGAGGCATGGTAGTTTCACTACTTCAAGAAACGATCCCCCCATAAACCGTAGGAATGTTACCTTAGTTTCGCTTTCCAGAACTGAGACAAGTTGATCCTCAGATCCGAGATAAGTTGATCCTGAGATTCGAAATAAGTTGATCCTGAATTCAAAACGAGAGATCTGGAGATGCGAGACGAGTTGATCCGAAGATCCAAGATGATTTGATACGAAGATCCGAGACAAGTATAGAGTAGGGTATGATAAACCTACTCTGATACCATGTTGAAAGACAAATATCGAATTTTATTACTAGAAACATATTTTATTGGTCCCCATACATCCGAATGAATTAACTGAAAAGGACTAGACACACGATTATTGACTCGAGATTTTGAAAGATACACGATGATGCTTACCAAGCTCACAAGCTTCACATGACAAAGACAAAACATTACTTAGACTCGGGACTTGATGGTGCAAAACAGGAAGCGAAGGGTGGCCAAGACGACAATGCCACTAAAATGGGGATAAAGATGACTGGAGGGCTTTAGGGTGCTGCTCAAGATTGAAGTAATACAAGCCACCTACTTCATACGCCGTACCAATCTTCTTCTTCGTCTTGAGATCCTAAAAACAACTTGAGGGATAAAATGTAACGGAACAATGAAGAGTTTTAGTAATCTTACTAATAGACGTCAAACTAAAAGGAAATTGAGGAACATATAAAACAGAAGAAAGAGACAAAGAAGAGCTAAGATGAGTTGTCCCTAAATCTGAGACCTTAGATGATGAACCATTAGCAAGAGTAACACTTTGAGAAGGAGATAATAAATGAAATTCAGATAAAAGGTGAGAACTACCGGTCATATAGTCTGATGGTCCGGAGTCGATAATCCAAGGCCTGTTAGAGGAAGACAAGAAAAATGCAGGCGTACTACCTGATTGGGCGAAAGAAGCTCTGGAAGATGAGGTAGGTGCATGTTGCTGAGACATAAGCTGCACATACTCATCATGTGGGATAGTGATCATATCGGACTCAACAACCTGGTGAGAATCAGTACGTGGAGCTTGTGGAATTAAAATATCCTCTTTATAGGACACCTGATTTGCATGAGCAGATGGTTTCGGTTTACCATGAAGATCCCAAAAGTAATTCACAGTGTGATTAGACAGACCATAATGAGTACATTTTCTGGATTCTCTGCCACGGCCACGACCCCCCTTGAGTCACGGCCACCATGTGTAGAACGACCGCCACGGTCTCCACGAGAATTATTGAGTCCACTCTGAGAGACAGCTAAAGCTGAATGTTCACCGCCATTATTAGTGTGTATAACTGAAGTGCCACGAGAGAGAGTAGCTCGCTGGAGTCGGGAAAATACCTCAGGAAGAGATGGAAGACTGGGGCTGCCCAAAATCTGTGCATGAATCGGCTCATATTTTGATGACAAGCCAGTGAGAAACCGAACAACATTAAACTCTGCATGTTGTTGTTGCATACACTGAACATCAGAGGTGATTGGTTGATACATATTCAGTTCTTCACAAATTCCCATTACTTTGGAATAATATGCTCCTAAACTTTGATTGCCTTGCTCAAGACTGAAAAACTGCTTACACACTTCATAGACACAAGTGATATTGCCAGTTCCAGAATACAATTGCTTGAGACGATCCCAAATGTCTTTGGCAGTGTCTAGATAGAGTAAAGTGGAGCTAATCTCAGGTTCAATGCTGATTAACAATAGGGAAATTATTTGAGCATCGTGTTGTTCCCATTTGCTGAAATTTGGATCATCTGTTTTTGGTTTATCCTTACTGAGATGGCTGCCAAGGCCTCTAGCTTTAAGAGAAAACTCTACTGATTTGGCCCACAGGATGTAATTTTTGCCATTAAGCATAACAGAGGTCATTGGAGGGTTGAATGAGGTGGTGGAGGAAAAAAGGTCAGAATTTGATGCCATGATAGGAAGGATGGTGTAGATTCAAGACTGAAATTGCAGGGACAGATAACCAGAGAAGAAGAGGACCAAAAAAAAAAGAGAAAAAAACCTGGAACAAAATATTCTTTTCACGTATCCGGGGCGGATCGGATCAGAAAACTGGATCAAGTCGGCTTGCTCCAAATGGGTCAAAGTGGATAGTAAATCTGGATAAGATTATTCATACTTGGAACAAGCAATCTTCACAACCAAACACACCATCTTCTCCAAACTAAGGTACGATGTTCAGAAAAAAAGAGAGGCAACCACTGGTGTTTGTGTATATATATATGGCGATGACGAAGATGAACTGAGATGATGGGCTGAATCAACGACGAGAATAATGATAGGCTCAGACGACAACCAGCAATCAGAATGAAGACAATACAACAGATTTGATCTCCATCACGATTTCGATCTCTACGAGATGCAACAACTGTGATCACAAACACAATTTCAATCTCCCTCACCCACGATATCGTGTTGCTCTGATACCATGTTGTGATTAGGATTTCTGAAGGAGAGAAGAAGATGGAGAACTTAGAAAAAAACTGTATTGGAGAGCCGCCCACTCTATCTCATTCTTTCTTCTTATATATAGTTGTGTACAAGGGTAAATAGACAATACAAAGACTAAATTACCCCTATGGGGTAAACCAATTACATGTGTGTTCTAATATGACTATTCCAACAATTACGAAGATTGCTGAAATGCTTTTGAATGCAGCATGAATTTCCTTCTTCGATCGTGGTAGGTAATAACTAGCACTATCTTTTTACAGTTTCTAAACTAAGCTAGAAATTCATATAAAAGTTACAACCTACAGATTTGTTTTACAAAATTTTCCAACCTAAGTCCTATTGACCTAACAACCCTTGATCTATTTTGGGCATTTTTATCATTGACATCTTTACAGATGATACACAGGTTTCTGAAGGTGTTTTGTGATTTGTCGGTAATTTATAATTGATACACAGGTAACGTATAAATATGGAACTCATAAGTGACTGGCTCTATGAGCATTTCATTTTCTATTTTTGATCATGAAATTACATAATAAAATGAATACCAGAATAGATTATTGAATCAGTTGAATTAGGCATTCTTACAAATACTGTACACATTGGTGTAGATCTGTGGCCTGTTTGGACTTAGTTGTATTCTTTTGTTGTTCTATATATTTTAATCAAACTTGCTGTTAAAAATCCATTTTCAGCATCATCTAAATTAATTGAGTAATTGGTTTTTCATGTTGCATAAGTTGTATGGCATTTTTTTTTGGATTTCCCCTTGAATTTCTCGTGAGCTTGTTACTTTTCATGAACTCTTGTTATCACATCTTTAATGCTCTAATTGTTGAAAACATGCGTTTGATTTAGTTGTTCATAAACTCGTCATTAATTTATGTCCTTCATTATTTACTTCTATTTGGACGCTGTTACCAGTCTCAAGATATCAACACGAGGACAGTAAGAGGGCAATCATAAGGCTGGAGCAGGCTGCTCATTCTTCTATGCAAAGAGTTATTGCATCTCGGGGAGCATTTGCTGTTCTATATGGCCGCCACTCAAAGCATTATATCAAGAGACCTGAGGTATGTTGCAAAGCCTTACCGGATCTATTTGGGGTTTACCTATAAGAATCTTTAATCCATTTTCTCGTCATTTCTTCCTATGTAAGACCTGTTGGATATATCTATTAAGTTCACTTATGGTTCAAACATATATATATTTTTAGTTTGTGGTTGTTATAATGACAATAAGCTTTTTGAAATGCAAGGAAGTGGTGTATTGCATACACATTTTTGATCTTTGTGGAAGATGATGCACTTGCTACATGCCAATATTTAGCAAATTAAATAGAGGGTGACCTTTGTCAACTTTTATTGAAATAATGAGTATAATATCTATACAGATGATGAGTAAACAATTGTTAAAATAATGTGAAGTCACTCTGAAAGCCCAATAATACTTAATATTAGCATGTAGTGACCAACAAATGTTCACACAAATTCATACAATCGTGTTAGAATATGTGGGATTATACGAAATATGTTATAATATTCTAGAGTGGGGTTTTACAGTAATTTCTCACTCATCCAACAACATATAATACAAATGGGTGATGGGAGTAATTAATTATTATTGTCAACCCTTATTCATATTTCCTTCTCTCTCTTTTAATCCTAAAATCACAAGTATCAATTTCCACCTTGGTACCAGAGCATCCGATTCGGATTCCGAAGCGATCATAGGAGTTTGCAGCACGTAAGAAATCGTCGAGGGTGTGCTAACATCATCGTCAGTGCTGACATCAGCACCTGTGCGGCCAAACTCCATGGAAATTACATGGTTCTATTCGCCTGTTTTTTGTTCTAAGAGCTATGTTGGTATTTTTGAAGTTGTTTGAGGTCATTTGATGGGTGTTTTTTATTTTTGAAAGATTTATAGAATTTTGGGGCTGTTTTTGTTGATCTGATATTTCCAAGTTTTTGGTTGAATTTTGAATAAATTTGGTTCAGAGGGGTGCATTTAGGACCTTGGAATCCTCTTGCTTGATATCATTGCAAGGTAGTTGCAATACGGCAAATTTTTTTTTTGCCCTCTCCATGCTGTGGCTGGCAAAGTGACCTCTCTGGTACATTTTTTTTGTTTACAGTAGTTGTATTCTGGTAGTTCATCACTGCTTGTCCTATTCAGACCTTGTGAGAATGTATTTGGAGCTTTTGGCAATGCTTTGTTTGACAAATTGACGAAGCTGTCTTTTTCATTCCTTTGGAAATTTTTTAGCTGATTAGGTTGTTTTTTTTTTTTTTTTTTTTTTTTTTTTTTTTTTTTTTTTCCCACTGCAGATAGATAGTGTGTTTTGTGTAGACCGGTTGGAGGGGTGTTGAGTCGTGTATTGGAGATAATTCTTCTCTTCAAGTTAGCACAGTGAAACCAGATGGGAGTAGTTATTTGGATTGATAATGATCATATTTTTTTCGTTTAAGACTCGTGGATTTTATGAATATCCGACTAGACTAGAGTGAATATGCAGTCAAAACCATTGGACCCATCTTAGGGTCAACTGGTCTCTGAAAATTCTTAATGATGTCTTTGCTGCTTCATTTGATGCAACCAGATATTGGCTGTGGTAATCTTCTCCTTGACACTGCTCATGCCATCAGTTCAGCTATTGCACATACTTTACTTGCAGATTGGGAATGATGGTAAGGTCTATGAAGTGAGGAAATTTTTTCATAATAAGCAAAAAAGGTCAATGAGACCAAACAGAAGAGAGATGTCTATCTGTAAGTACTATGTCGAGTCTAATAGTCTGTGGCAGGAGTTAAACTATTACCAGGTCAAGCATATTGCAGCAAGTGATGGTCCCAAATTGCAGAAGTTTATTGTGAAAGAATGATTGTGGTGAAGGTTGGCTATAGTAAGAGTCAAGATATTGCAGTCTGCAGACTCAAGAAAGCACTTTATGGGCTTAGTCTCCAAGGATATGGTTTGATAGATTTCAGAAGGTTGTGGTGAAGTTTGTGTGATGTTGTGGACTGAATTTGTTGCGGGTCGCAACGACCCGATATATAAGGGTGCTTAAGGTTTGGGGTGTGATATTGTGAGACACTGAAAATCGCATAAAAGAGTGAACGAGAGCTAGGGCTTGGGGGCTGAAACTTGTAATCTCCAGATTTTCGCATAGTGAACTTTCGCCGGATCTTCGTCGTGGATGTAAGATTTGTCGAATCATGCTAAATCTGTGTTCTTTGTGTGTGGTGTGTTTACTTTCTGTCGTGTTTCGTGATTGTAGCTTGGGTTCACTGCGTTTGTTGTAACAGTTTGGCTATACTAAGAGTCATGTAGATCATATTATGTTCATCAAGCGAGTAAGAGGCAAGATTACAATACTTGTTGTTTATGTGAATGATGTAGTAGTGACAGGTGATGACTTTAAAGAAAGTATCCAGATTGAAAGTTCAATTAGCCAGGGAGTTTGTATTAAGGATTTGGGAAATATGCACTACTTCCTTGGAATTGAACTTGCTAGATCAGACAAGGGCCTCTCTTTATTTTTGAGAGGAAGTATATTCTTGGACCGCTGGTAACTTTGTTTCAGGGATTTCCCTTCACATAACCATTTTGACATGTCACGACATGGGTCTGGTACAAGATATGCGTTCGACATGAACCCGAGTTAGATACCTCCATCCTCCAACATGGAAAGAAAAAACCCAAATTTAATAGTAGATGTTAGAGTTTGTCTTAGCTTGGTATTACTGTTATAATGTTTATAGTTTAGGGGCATTATTGTAATTTACTTATTTCAATATATATATATATATATATTTAGGAGAGGTGGTGTAGAAACCACCCTAACAACCATCAAATTCTATTTCTTAATCATTTTTTTTTTTTTTTCCCTCTCTCCTCTCTAACTCTAGCGACACATGCACACAAACTTCAACGGTAGAAATGAGAATCCTATCTATGAGATAGATGGAAATCCTTTCTTTTATCACATCGCATTTAATTTGAGTAATAAATTAGTATAATCCAATTTTTCGTGAAGGCAGAAATTTAGAGCCTTGTGGCTAAAGGAGGGGGATCGTAGTACAAGGTTCTTCCATAAACTTGCTAATGCCCATCGATGGGGTAATCATATTTGGAGGATTTCGGTCGAAGGGGATTTGTTGCAAGGATGAGGAGGTTTTTAGAGGAATTGCCTCTTTTTATCAGAAGTTGTGAAGTTGTTCACTGAGACTTCTTGTTGGAGACTTTTACTTGTGGCGCTTTAGTTCAATTCGAATTCTGGTGAGAGTGCCAAGTTAAAAAGACCTCTTTTTTGAAGAGGACGCGTTGAAGGCGGTGAAGAGCTATAGTGGGGACAAAGTCCTGGGTCTTGATGGCTTCTCCATGAGATTCCTTTTAGAGAGCTGGGAGGTGGTTAAGGTGGAGGTGATGGGAACTTTACACGCCTTTCACTCCCAGGGTCATTTTGAGAAAGTCTAAATGTCACGTTCATTACCTTTTATCCCCTGGTGGGTTGCATTTATAAATTAATTACTGAAGTTATTGCTTTGAGATTGAGGGAGGTTTTGGATGGGGTCATTTCGAATTCTCAAAAACTTTTTCGTGGGAGGTCGTCAGAGTCTTGATTCAATCCTTATTGCTAGTGAGTGTGTGGACTCTAGATTGTGCAGTGGGGCTCCTGTGCAAGTTGGACATTGAAAAGGCTTTTGATCATGTTAGTTGGTGCTTTCTTCTTTATTTGTTGGAGAGGATGGTTTCAGAGAGAGATGCAGGAGGAGAGACGCTCCTAGTCACCTGGAGATCTCCCATTTGACGCTTGCCGATGACACTTTGGTTTACTATGATGCATACGTGTCTCAATTTATGATCTGGTTTCAAGATGTTTCTTGGTTGAAGGTGAACGTGGGAAAAAGTGTTTTGGTTCCAATTGGGGAGGTTCCTAAGATCTCCAATCTTGCTGACATCTTGGGTTATTGCATTGGCCCTTATTCTATTCCTTATTTGGGCCTTTTACCTCTCGTGCCGCTGTCGAGGAGAGTGGGAAATTGGGATCTCGTGGTGAAGAGGTTTGAGAGGAGGTTGGTAGTGTGGAAGAAGCAGTATCTTTCGAAAGGTGGAAGAGCCACTTTTGATAAGAGCACTTCGTTGAGCCTTCTTACTTGTTTCCTATCTCGTTTTTAGATTTCCTCTTCTGTGGCTGAGAGGAGTTCAAGCATCATTTGGTTAATTGGGAGCAGGTGTGTAGTCTAATCCGGCTGGGTGGTTTGGGGATCAGACTAGTGCCTTTTAATAAGGCCTCTTGGGAAGTGGTTATGAAGATTTGGGGTGAAGAAGCACGTACTATGGAGGAGGGTGATTGTGAACAAAATTTGGGAGTCTAGAGGTGGCTGGTGCTCTCTTGAGGGGTTTGGAAATTCATTAGGAAGGGATGGTATGATTTTTCTAAACACATCACATTTCGAGTCAAGGATGGCAACAAGATTCATTTTTTGGAGGTTTCTTGCTCTCTCTTTACAGACTATTCAGGATTGCGACAGACAAACATGCCTTGGAGCTTCACTACTATCGTCTTGATAGCAGGAGAATGTCCTGGGCGTTTTTCGACTCATTTTCAGGATTGGGAGATTGAAGGAAGCCGTAGGTTTTTTTGGAGGAGTTGTATCGCTTCAGATTGTGGGTGGTGTTCCTGACTGTGGAGTGTGACTTCCCTCTTCCCATGGTCACTTTGAGGTTCGGTCACTCTATAGGTGTCTTACGGATGCTCCAGGGGATTCGTTCCCGTGGAAGGCTATTTGGTGTTCTAAGCGCCCCCTCCCTCCCCTCCCTTAAGGTGGCTTTCTTTGCATGGACTTCTGTGTTGGGGAAGATCTTGATCCAAGATAATCTTAAGAGGATGAGACATGTGGTCAACTGTTGTGGCATGTGCAAGAGAGATGACGAATTGATTGACCACCTTCTTTTGCATTGCCCAGTGGCTCGGGATTGCTAGGTTTTGATGTTAGGTTCGTTTGGAGTTAAGTGGGTTATGCCCAGGTCTTCAAGTGGCTTGGAGAGGTTGTATAGTGGGGGCCCA